TTAAAAACAGATTAAAACATTTTTTTTAATTTTGGTGAAATACATGTAACAAAATTTACTCTCCTAACCATTTTTAAGTGTATATAGTTCAGTAGCATTAAGTACATTGATATTGTTGTGCTGCCATCACCAGCATCCTTCCACAGAACTCTTTTCATCTTGTGAAATTGAAACTCTATACCCATGAAATAATTCCCCATTCTCCCTTTCCCCAGCCCCTGGCAACCACCATTCCACTTTTTCTCTATGAATTTCATTACTTTAGGTACCTCATGTAAGTGGACTCATACAGTTTGCCTTTTTGTGACTGGCTTATTTTGCTTAGTATAATGACCTCAAGGTTCATTCATGTTGTAGCATATGTCAGAATCTCCTCCTTTTTTAAAGCTGAATAATATTCCATTTTGTGTGTGTGTGTGTGTGTATATATATATATATATATATATATATATATATATAGCACATCTTCTTTATGCATTCATCAGTTGATCGACACTTGGGTTCCTTCCATCTTTTGGCTATTGTGAATAATGCTGCTATGAACATGGGTGTACGTATATCTTTTTGAGACTTTGTTGTCAGTTCTTTTGGGTATATACTCAGAACTAGAATTACTGGATCTTATGTTAGTTCTATTTTTAATTTTTTGAGGAACTACCATATTGTTTTCCACAGCAGCTCTACCATTTTATATTCCCACCAATAGTGCACAAGTGTTGCAATTTCTTCAAATTTTCACCAACACTTATTTTCCTTTTTTTAAATAGTGGCCATCCTAATGGCTATGAAGTAGTATCTCATGGTTTTGATTTGCATTTCCCTAGTGATTAGTGATGTTGAGTATCTTTTCATGTGATTGTTGTCGATTTGTATATCTTCTTGGGAGAAATGTCTATTCAAGTCCTTTGCCTACTTTTAATTGTGTTTTTGTTGAGTTGTAGGAGTTCTTTACATATTCCAGATATTAACCCCTTTTCAGATAAGTGATTTACAAATAATTTCTCCTGTTCTGTGGGTTGCCTTTTCACTCTGTTGATTGTGTCCTTTAATGCACAAAAGTTTTTAATTTTCGTGAAGTCCGATTTGTCTGCTTTTTCTTTTGTTGTCTGTGCTTTTGGTATCATAAGAAGAAATCATTGCCAAATCCAGTGTCATGAAGATTTTGTCTAAAGCTTTTGTCTATTTTGTCATGAAGATGTTTGCTTCTGGAGTATTTTAGTTTTAGGTCTTAACATTTCCTCCTCTTCAATTTTTTGGAAGAGTTTGAGAAGGATTGGTGTTAAATGTGTGATAGAATTCACCACTGACATTATCTGGTCCTAGCCTTTTCTTCGTTGGGAGGTTTTTGATTATTGATTTAATTGCTTTGCTAGTTATGGTCTGTTCAGATTTTCTATTTCTTTATGATTCAGTCTTGGTAGGGCAAATTCTTAGAATTTGTCCATTTTATCTAGTTTATCCAATTTGTTGGCATACAGTTGTTCATAGTACTCTCTTACAATCCTTTTTATTTCTGTAAAATTGGTGTAATGTTCCCTCTTTCATTTCTGATTTTATTTGAGTCTTTTCTCTTTTTTTCTTAGTCCATCAACTATCATCAGTTTTGTTGATCTTCTTGAAGAACCAACTGTTGGTTTTGTTGATTCTGTCTATTGTTTTTCTATTCTCTATTTTGTTTCTCTCTGCTTGAATCTTTATTATTTCCTTCTTGTAGCTTTGGGTTTAGTTTGCTCTTTTTCTAGTTTGCTAAGATGTAAAGTTAGGTTGTTGATTTGAGGTCTGTCTTCTTTTTTAATGTAAACATTTACAGCTGTAGATTTCCCTCTTAGCATAGCTTTTGATGCATTCCATAAATTTTGGTATGTTGTGTTTTTATTTTCATTTGTCTCAAGATGTTTTTTAACTCCGCTTGTGATTTCTTTTTTGACCCATTGGTTTTTAAAGTATGTCTTGTTTAATTTCCACACATTTGTGGATTTTTCAGTTTTTATTTTGCTATTGATTTCTAGTTTCATTCCATTATGATTGGAAAAGATCCTTTGTATGATTTCAGTCTTTTAAAATTCATTAAGGCTTGTTTTATAGGCTAACTATAGTCTGTCCTGGATCATGTTTATTTTTTTGATGAACTTAAGGAATTAAAAAAAAATTCTTGCATTAAGTTTGCCAAACTGCAAACTCTAGAGAACACTGCTCGACAAGACTGTGCTCATTTCGTACACCAGCCACAAGTTTGAGGATTCTCAGGGCCGCTCTCAATTCTAAGAAGCTGGCTACAAATTTGGGGGTGCCTCAGGTTTGATAGTTCACTAGAATGACTCACAGAACTCAGGAAAGAGCTATATTATGATTACAGTTTTATTGTAACAAAGGATACGAATCAGACCCAGCCAGAAGGAGAGACACCAAGGGTGAGGTCTGGGCGGGTTGCAAACGTGAAGTTCCTGTTGTTCTCAGGGGATCTCCAGACATCTCAGTATTCAAAAGAACATTGTCAACCAGGGAAGCTCTCTCAAGCTTCAGTGTCCAGAGTGTTTTTGTTTGTTTCATTATGTAGGCATGATTGAGTGAATCATTGCCCAATGTGACTCCATCTCCAGCACTCCTGCCCTTGCTCAAAGTCAGACTGATATCATGATGGCTCAAAGCTCCAACTCTCTAATCATATGGTTGGTCTTTCTGGCATGGCTAGCCTCCATCCTGAGTCATCCGATTAGCAGAAAATATCTAGGGCCACATCATGAGTCACCTTATTAGTATAAACTATTAGGTGTGGTCCAAGGGGCTCACCATGAATAACAAAGACACTCCTTCCAGGAGTTTAGAGGATACCTCCTGGGAACAAGGGACAAAGGCCTCCAAATTCTTTATTACACAATTCTTTTAAAAAATCATGAGGCTCTGATTGTAATTGAATGGATGTAATAGATAAATTTAGTGAGAGTTAATGGTTTTACATTCTTCATATATGAAAGCAAAGTGTGCATTTTCTCCCTTTATTCAAAAATTTGGGGGGTTTCTAATTTGAAATTAGAAAATTTCATTAGAATTGTAAAGCTTTTGCTCATTTCTTGTAAGGTTTATTTCTAGGGTATTTTCCCTCTTCATTATTGTCTTCAATGTTAAAGGTATCTTCTGAGGTTATTTTCTTTATGCTTTCTTCTATTGCTTTCTAAAATTGCAAAATAATACATTCTTATTTGAAAAAAATAATATAAATAGTACAATAATCTCCCCCATAGCATCTACATTCTATTGTGTGCCTTTTATTTATCTAATGATTCATTTGTGGTGTTTTGCAAGTCACAACATATACATGATTCTTTTTAATGGTTACTATTATTAGCCATTGTTGTTATTAATTATTTTTGTGACGTTTCTTGACTAATATATTCCAATACTATTTATGTTATTTTGGTAGTGTATTTTATTCTTTTCAGTATAAATCATTAAACAAGTTGATTTTTATTATAACTTTTAATTTAATATCATGTGCCAGTAATGTTCTCAGCCCTGATATTTTTTTTTTGCTTACATTTGCTCCTTCTTAATCTCTTTTGCTTTCTTCTCTTTTCCCAAATATCTTAATGTTGTAGTTCTCTAGGATTCATTCCTGACTCCTTTCTCTTCTCTTTATCTACACTCATTCTCTTGATAATATAGTCTCTTTAAATACCATCTATATGCTGGCAACTCCTAATTTAAAATCTCTATTCCAGACCTCTATCTTCAACCCAGTCTCATGTGTCCATCTGCTTTCTCAGCATTTCCATCTCAAAGTCTAAAAGACGCCTTAAGTTTATTATGTTCAAAACTGAGCTCCAGGTCTTCCCTACCTCACCACCTAAACCTGCTGTATGCATGGCCTTTCCCATCACTGTTGATGCCTGTTCCATCCGTCCATTGCTCAGACCCTAAACTTTGAAGGCATGCTTGTCTTATCTCTTTCTATTACATTTCATCTCCAGTCTTCCAGTCTTTCAGGGTATCCTCTTGGTTTTTCCTACAAATTCACCTAGAATCTGACTACCTTGCTATACCTCCACTGATATCTTTCTGGTTTGAATCATCATCTCTCACCTGGATTACTACAATCATAGGTCCCCATACTTCTCCCCTTACCCCTGCCTTCCAGTATTTTCATTAAACCGTAACTAGATATCACTCCTCTCCTCAAAACACTTCAGTAGCTCTCCATCCCACTCAGAGTAAAAGCCAAATTCCTTAGGAGGCCTATAAAGCTTAAATAATCTAGTTAGCCTTGCCTCCTGACTTCATCTACTACTACTTACTCCTCTCCAGCTGCACTGGCCTTCTTGCTATTTCTCAAACATATCAAACATGCTTCTACGTTTAGGCTGTTTATTCTGCCTAGAATGCTCTTTCTCCAAATATCTAAATGACTAACTTTATCTCCTTCAAATCTTTGCTTAAATATTAACTTATTAATGATTCCTTCCTTTGACTTCACCTGCATTCCTGATCTCTCTTATGCTGCTTTTCTTTTTCTGTAGCACTTAGTACCTTCTAACATACAATAAAATTTACTTATTAAGCATTTATTTCCTGTCTTCCCCAAGAATATAAAGTCCATGAAGGTAAGGATGTTTGTTTTGTTTACTATGATATGGAAAGCGTCTAGAACAGCACAAGGTTCAATGACTGTTCTTGAAATAAGCAACTATAAGAATGGAGGTTATTTTAGTGCCTGTATTATTCATACATGCATAAAATTATAACCAAGTCCAACCACCTCCATAATTTCTTCTTGACCTGAGATTTACCTTACTGGTTTTCTTATAATTCTAATCATTCCTTCTCAAGTTTCTGTCTGACCTATTTTAAATTTCTGTTCTTGCACACTTCAGAACTACAAAAGCCAATGTTCTTGTGGGTTTTATTTGGTATTAAATTCATATACTTCACTTTATAAATGTACTTTCATAAATGTACCTTCAGGTACATAAGAGAGGAAACATTTTTTTCTTATTATTTTTCAGGCTGGGAATCTATGTGTGAAACTGAAGAATTAACCCCAAAGCAGGACATTTATGAAGCACAATCATCTCAGAAGATAATAGAAAAACTTACAAGCTGTGGCCTTGAGTACTCCAGTTTGAGAGAAGAATGGAAATGCGAGGGCCATTTTGAGAGGCAACTGTTGAATCAGAAAGCATGTTTCAAGGAAGAGACAATCACTCATGAAGAAGCCCTTGTTGATGAAAGAGGACAAGAATATAACAAATCTTGGGGAAGTTTTCATCCGAACACACTACTTCATACACAAGAGATAATTCCCAAAGAGGAGAAAGTACATAAATATGACACACATAAGAAAAGCTTTAAAAAAAATTTAATGGCCGTTAAGCCCAAGAGTATGTATACAGAGAAGAAACTTTTGAAATGTAATGACTGTGAAAAAGTCTTCAGCCAGAGCTCATCCCTTACTCTTCATCAAAGAATTCATACTGGGGAGAAACCCTATAAATGTGTAGAATGTGGGAAAGCTTTCAGCCAGAGATCAAATCTTGTTCAGCATCAGAGGATTCATACTGGAGAGAAACCGTATGAATGTAAGGAATGTAGGAAAGCCTTCAGTCAGAACGCACACCTAGTTCAGCATCTGAGAGTTCATACTGGAGAAAAACCTTATGAATGCAAGGTATGTAGGAAAGCCTTCAGCCAGTTTGCCTACCTTGCTCAACATCAGAGAGTTCATACTGGAGAGAAACCCTACGAATGTATTGAATGCGGGAAAGCATTTAGCAATAGATCATCCATTGCTCAACACCAGAGAGTTCATACTGGTGAGAAACCTTATGAATGTAATGTCTGTGGGAAAGCATTTAGCCTTCGTGCATACCTTACTGTACATCAGAGAATACATACTGGAGAGAGACCATATGAGTGTAAGGAATGTGGGAAGGCCTTCAGCCAGAATTCACACCTTGCTCAACATCAAAGAATTCATACTGGAGAAAAACCTTATAAATGTCAGGAATGTAGGAAAGCATTCAGCCAGATTGCCTATCTTGCTCAACATCAAAGAGTTCATACTGGAGAGAAACCCTATGAATGTATTAAATGTGGGAAGGCTTTTAGCAATGACTCATCCCTTACTCAACATCAGAGAGTTCATACTGGAGAGAAACCTTATGAATGTAATGTTTGTGGGAAGGCTTTTAGTTACTGTGGATCCCTTGCCCAACATCAGAGAATTCATACTGGAGAGAGGCCCTATGAATGTAAGGAATGCAAGAAAACCTTCAGGCAGCATGCACACCTTGCTCATCATCAGCGAATCCATCTTGGGGAGTCACTGTCACCACCCAATCCAGTCAATCACCAAGTCCTATAGACCCTATCTCATCAATATTTCCAGAATTTATACTCTTTTCTCTATCTCTAATGTTGTCACCCTGGTCTAAAATTCATCTCACCTGGATCATTGCTGTAACTTTCTAATAGGTCTTCCTGTATCAACTTTTGGTCCCATTAAATTCATTTCCCATCATGCAACGAAACTGATCATTTTGAAGTATGAGAATACACACATCACTGCCTCCAGTTAAAACTTTTTTTGGCTTGCTATTGTTCTTAAGCTAACGTTCACAGTCTTTAAAATTATCTGTGAGGCGCTTCATTATCTGGTCTTATATACCTTTCAGCCTTATTTTTTTATTCCAGTCTCCCTCTCTGGGCACTAGGCACTTCCCCGGACTAAGAGCTTAGATTTGGACAATCATAGCCCCACCACTGCTGTGGCATTGTGTGACTTTGAGTAATTTGCTTGTCTTATCTAAACCTCAGGGTTTTTTAAATTTTTAAAATAGGGGTAAAGGATACTGTATTGTAGAAATGTGAGTATTAAATGAAATAGTGTCTGTTGTAGACTGACACATATTAAGTAAGAAATTTGCATGTAAGGTATTTCACATAATGCATCAAATATAGCAGATATTGAGTAAATAATAATAGCTAATGTGTGTTGAGTGCCTACTATGCACCAGGCACTGTTCTGCATACTCAGCATTTAGTAACTCATCTATTCCTCACACTAAAACAAGATTCCATAGTGGACAAAGTAGAACATCCCTGGCAAGCAGCAGGTCAAAATTGGGAAAACCTAAAAATTTTGGAACATAAGTGGGAGCCTTTGTACTCTAGGTGAGTAATCAGTATAGACACAAGTAGTAGAATTAATAACACTTAGAACCAGTTTTAGCAAGTTTCTAAAGAGAATGAATTGGATAAACCAATTAAAATAAAGAAAATGAGGATTCACTGAGAAGAATACAGGACTTACATTTAGATAAAGAAATGAATAGAGAGTATTGCAATTAAGTCCAAAAAACCAATAAACATAGAAATTCATACTGTCCCATAAAAAGGCACCAGGCGTAGGTAATTGTATGGGTAAATCTTAGGAAATTTCAAAAGGATTTAAACTGTTCCATACCATAGGAAAAATATAAAGTTTATAATTTTTTTATTCACTGGTTGTAAAATTGAAAGCAAAAGGGGATTGAGGGAAGAAAACTGCAGACAAATATATACATATAGGCCTGCATTCATTCAGTGAATATTGAGTAGCTACTCTTTGCCAGACACTGTTTTAGGCATGAAGAGACAACAATGATCAATACAAAGACCATGGCCTCATGGAGTTAAATTCCAGAGGCTGAGATAGTTAATACAGGCATACCTTGTTTTACTGTGCTTTGCTTTATTGTGCTTTGCAGATATTGCATCTTATACAAGACCCTCCATCAACAAAAAGATTACAACTTACTGAAGGCTCAGATGACGGTTAGCATTTTTTAGCAATAAAGTATTTTTAAATTAAGGTACGTACCTTGTTTTTTTGGACGTAGTGTTATTGCACACTTAATAGACTACAGTGTAGTGTAAACATAATTTTATATACTCTGGGAAAACAAAAAGTTCATGTGACTTGCTTTATTGCAATCTTTGCCTTATTGTGGTGGTCTGGAACCAAACCCACGATATCTCTGAGGTATGCCTGTACTTAAATATAAAACAACAAATTTTCTAAACCCAGAAAACTGAAGAAGAATAAAAAAGTTGAGGAGTATATAAATCTAGGTTGAAGAGCCTCAAGATAATAAAGTTATCAGTTATTCCTAATTAACAAATTCACTGCATTTCCAACCAAAATTCCTCAATGGGCCTTTTTGCCCTTTAACCTCACAACTTTGTTCTAAAATTTATCTATGAAGTATGAAATCAAGAACAGCAAGAAAATTATTGAATCTGATCTGTCTGTAGAGATTTTGCATATGATAAAGATGGATCATACTATTAGAGAAAGGATGTGTTTGGGGGTATTCGTACAGTACTGTTGGAAGTGGTTGTGTTTAGGATAATTTGGCAATATCTAGTAACATTGAAGATGTGGATACTCTTTGACCCAGCAGTTCTACACTTAAACCTCTACGGAGTCTCTCCTCATGTGTTCAGAGAGATGTGCATGAAAGTCCTCTTTAGAATTGTTGGTGAGAAGGAAGTTTAAAGCAATCAAAATAACCATTAGGGTGAATGTAAGTTAAAACCCAAGTTAAAATGAATGAACTAGAGATAATTCTATCAACATGCATAAATCTTAAAAACAATACTAATGAAATTGAACTAGAGACTATTTTGTATGATATGGTACCACTTATTTATATAAAGTTTGAAGACATGCAAATCACTGCTATGTACATTTTCCATGGCTAAATACCATATAGAAATAGTGTAATAACATTCATGGAAATAATCATCAAATGCAGAACAGTGGTGGCCTCTGGGGAGGGAGAAAAATGAGATTAAGGAAAAGATGCAAAGGGAGATATCTTTTAATCATTTATTTCTTTAAAAATTAAGCAGATATGGCCAATTCTTATAGATTGATAAAGCTGGTTGTGGGTTTATAGGTAGGTTCTTATTCTCTGTATCTTTCTGTATATTTAAACTATTTCATAATAAAAAAATAAAAGACAATGTTTGCTTTTGTCAGTTATTAACTTATTGTACCTCAGGTGTGCCACTGATGTTCCCATCCATATTCACCATTCTCTTCAGAAAGAAGCTCACAAATAATTGACTTCCAGATGTAATCATTGTTAACAATTTGGTGATTATCCTTTCACGTGTCAGTGTTTTGAAAATGACTGTATTTTTACATTGAGGGTTTTATAACCTACTTATTACAAGTTTTTTAACCATTGTTCTTTTCTCCACCCAGCTTTATTGAGGTATGATTGACAAAATTCCATATATTTAAGGTGTTGTCTTTACATGAGTACAGCCGTGTTTGGCCGCTCCATTGACCTACAGCCACCAGCACAAAAAGAAATACAAAGCTGCTTTCTGTGTGGTGGGAACCGGCCTTTTCCCGGGAACTGGCCTTTCCCCCACGGAGAGAGTTGCAAGTTGTAACATTTCAAGGCTCTTGGAGCGCATAGCCCAGAATGGACTGGCCATCTGTGCCGGGCTGGGACGATAACCAAAGAGAACAATGCACGTACACAACTACTGGGCTGGGACGTTAGCCAGGGGCCTCAGTGCACGTACGCCACTGATAACCATTTGTGCATGGAAACACTAAATGCTTGCTCTGCAAACTCTGTAATTGCTTACTCTGAAAATTACTGATGGTATAAAAACTGCTGGAAACTGAGACCCGGGGAGAGTTCCACCTGTGGAAGGGACACCTTGCCCAGGACGTGTGATCCTTGCCCAGCCGCGTCGATTGACAGGGCTCTCCCGGCACTGGGGTGTGAATGTTGTGAGTAATTGATTTGATGTGAAGTAATTGATTTGATATGAAGTAATTGATTTGATGTGTTCTCTTTTCGGTCAACCTGGTGTTTCTCTTTCTGGTTGATTTGTGTCATTTCTCTTCAGCTGATGTGGATGTTTTCCCTTTCCAGTCGGGCTGATGTTTTTTCCCTCTTAATACTTGACCTATTCGGATCTGTTTGCAGACTATCGCCTTTACTATCCTCTATATAATAAAATATACCTTCAGTCTGTTTGGAGTGGAAAGTGTCTTTTACATCTCCGATCGAATCCTCGAACCTCTCATAACAGGTGTACAACATGATGTTTTGATATATTTATACATTGTGAAATGATGACCACAATCAAGCGAGTTAGATCCATCATCTCACATAGTAACCAATTTTTTGCATGTGTGGTGAGAACACTTGAGATCTACTCTGTTCTGCAAATTTCAAGTATACAATACATTATTATTAACTACAGTTACCATGCTGTACATTATGTCTTCATAACTTATTCATCTTATATGTGAAATTTATACCCTTTGGTCAATATCTCCCCTTTCCCCCACCTCCAGCCTCTGGTAACCACCATTCTCTCTGTTACTATGAGTTCAACCTTTTTTTTAAGAGTCCACATGTAAGTGAAATCATATGATATTTGTCTTTCTGTGTCTGGCTTATTTCAGTTAGCCTAATGTCCTCCAGGTTCATCCAAGGTTTTGTAATGGCATGATTTCCTTCTTGTTTAATGGTGAATAATATTCCATTGTATATATACCCATATTTTCTTTATTCTTCTTTCTGCAGACACTAAGGTTGTTTCCATATCTTGGCTACTGTGAATAATGCTGCAATGACCATGGGAGTACAAATATTTCTTCGAGATTCTGATTTTATTTCCTTTGGCTATATACCCAGAAGTGGTATTGCTGGGTTGTATGGCAGTTCTATTTTTAATTTTTTGAGGAACCTCCATACTGTTTTCCGTAATGGATATACCAACTTACTTATTCCCACCAACAGTGTACAAGCGTTTCCTTTTCTCCATGTCCATGCCAACACTTGTTATCTTTTGACTTTTTGATAATAGTCATCCTAACAGGTGTGAGGTGATACCTCTTTGACCTTTTTGTGGTTTTGATTTGCATTTCCATTATAATTAGTGATGTTGAGCATCTTTTCACGTACCTGCTGGCCATTTGTATGTCTTGTTTTGAGAAAAGTCTATTCAGGTCTTTTGCCCATTTTTAAATTGTATTTTTTTTCTATTGAGTTGTATTAGTTCCTTATATATTTTGGCTGTTAACCCTTTATCAGATATATAAATCATATTTTTCATATCTGATAAGGGGTTAATAATATTTTCTCCCATTCCATAATTTGCCTTTTCGTTTTGTTAATTGATTTCTTTGCTGTGCAAAAGCGTTTTAGTTTGCTGTAGTCCCACTTGTTTATTTTTGCTTTTGTTGCTTGTGTTTTTGGTGTCAAATCCAAAAAATCATTGCCAAAATCAGTCTCGAGATTTTCCCTCTATTTTCTTATAGGGAGTTTTATGGTTTCAGGTCTAACGTTTAAGTTTTTAATGCATTTTGTATTGATTTGTATGTGTGGTGTAAGGTAAGGGTCCAGTTTTATTCTTTTGCATGTGGATATCCAGTTTTCCCACACCATTTATTGAAGAGACTATCCTTTCCCCATTGTGTATTTTGGGTGCCTTTGTCAAAAATTAGTTGATCATACATGCAGAAATAAATCCATCATCATTCTTAATGTTTACAGAGCACTATTCTGTATGCACCATGATTTATTAATTCCCTGTTGTTTCCAATCTAAATGTCTAGAATTTTCATGGGCCAATTACTATCCTTTCAGAATTCAGTTTTGTCAGATGTTAAAGAGAGAGAATTTTACCTTTGTCATAAAACTGTTATATGAATTTATGATAACACATTAAATGCCTAGCGGTACTTAATGGTGGCTATTATTATTTTATAAAATGTACAGAGGGAAGGAGAAAG